GCAGCCTAGCTCATCTACCACAACCCTCTCCTCCCCACTGACAAGAGCTGAGGCACTGGCTAAGAAAGCCTGCACAGTCAGTAGAGCTATAAAAAGCTGACACTACCATTTTGCTGGACATTTTCCCATTACAGAGTTGGTGTTTCTTAAAAATTTGAATTATATGTGGTATTTGGAACTTCTTGAAATATAAAATTCTCAGAGGATTCTTTTTGTCAAACCTAATGTTTCATATTTTTTGAATGCTGTTGTATTATAATATAAATGTAGAACTTTTTCCCAATGGAAAGTATTTTAAATCTAAAATTATCTAACACAACATTTTAAGACAATAAAAGGAAATTTTGCCATATCCTTGGGAAATTGTGATTGTAATAAAATGGCATATTCAAAGAGAATACATTCCAATACAAAAATTCTGACCACCTTCAGTAATGAAGTTTTAGGTGCCAGCTTTATTCTTAGACAGGTTCTCTAAATCAAAGTGTTCGCAGGTCTAACAGTAAGTTAAAGACCAGTGAATATTCTTATAAAAACTGATTTATTTCAAAGGTGGAAAAGGGCTGTTAGTCTGAGCAGGAGAGCAGTAGTACAAGGAAAATACAGCTGCACAGTATCTGGCAGGGAACCAAATCATTTCTTTCATGATTCACTTTCCACATCCAATTGGATGCCAAGTCACAGTTTCAGAAAGGCCCCCACAAACCACTGCTGGCAGGGCTCATCCTGTCAATCTGTGCACCAAGAGGATCATGTCTGGATCGGGGCCCTGGGGACGCGCTGGGTCCCTGTAAGGGCAGCCCCATCTCCTCTCAGTATGCCCAGCACTGATGCCACAGGAGTGGCACATGAGGGGGATATTAGCCAGGAGAGGAAAATCAGGACAGTCAATCATTGTCTTATACAGCCAAAAAGTGAGGCAGCTCTAGCCAGCTCACTATACTGTCAAGGAGGCAAGTATTTACGTCATGTCACAGACGGCCTTGTTCATTAGTATAGTCAGAAAACAACTGTATTCAGAAAGTACCTATCAGCAGCTTCCAGCCCTTGTGTGGTCAAGCCATGGTGCGAGGGCTGCCTACCTGCACTCACGCTACCTGCGCACCTTAGTGCTGGGTTATCGGCTGCATTTTGTCTTGTTCTCTGCACAAAAAAGACCTCTGGGGGTCTGTTTAGCCTACAGAAGACAACGACTGAGAGGGGATCTCATCAATACTTATAAATATCTAAATGATGGATGTCAAGAGGAAGGGGCCAGACTCTTCTCTATGGTGCCCAGTGACAGGACAAGGGGCAATGGGCACAAACTGGAACACAGGAAGTTCCATCTGAACATGAGGAAAAACTTCTTCACTTTGAGGGTGACCGAGCACTGGGACAGGCTGCCCAGAGAGGTTGTGGAGTCTCCTTCTCTGGAGATATTCAAAACCCACCTGGATGTGATCCTGTGCAACCTGCTCTGGGTGATCCTGCTTTAGCAGGGGGGTTGGACTAGATGATCTCCAGAGGTCCCTTCCAACCCCTACCACTCTGTGATTTTGTGATTCCAGTGATTCAAATCCCAGTAAATCCAAACACACAAATGAGCCTTTGCATAAATGGGACAAGCACTAAGCACCATGAAAGTCAGGACAGGTGGGGTTTTTAATTTGTCTTCTGGGTGCTGAGTTAGCGAAAGATCATGATTTGTGCCTTAATTTCATCTAAACACAGAGCTTGTGTCTAGACTAAATGAAAACTATTTTGTTATTCTGTCTTTCTCACTGCAAGCCTGAAAAAAGATCTAATTTATGCATTCAAATGAAGATAAAAGTGCTTTGAAGAGAGGCTGAAAGGTCTTCACAAAGCCTTCTAAAACATTTTTTTCTTCTTGAGGAACCACGGGGACATCTGAACAGCTTCAAAACTGCAGCAGAGTTGTCTGTATCACATCCCTTCAACTGACATTTAAAGTAACCAAGTCTGAAAAGTGTTGAGGCTATTGCAGAGTTAAAATTGTCTAAAAAAAAGGTAAATAGCTGTAAGCGGGACATAATTCCAATATGAACAGAAGTGTGTGACAGAGAAATAGGGAAATGCCTAAGTCAATTACTGCTGATTTTTAAGCGGGGTCACACTTACAGCACTGATCTACCTGCCCAATACTCAACTTCCAAACGAGTGTTGGCAAATTGAAAAGAATTCCAAAATGAGATACGAGTGACATCAGCTCTGGGAAAATAACACAGCATGCAGTTCCCAAAGCTCATCTATTTTGTCTATCCAGGAGAAAATCAAGGACTTGATCATGAGATAACAGTATTGCCATGTCGCTCCTCTCAAAATCTATGTAAACAAGACAACTACAGCCTCTGAATCTGTGCAAGCTTTCATTTTGGAATAAAAGGGAATATCTAGCAAAATGCATCACATGCTGAGCTTCATTTAATTGTATAACTACTCACAAACAGAAACTTTTGGAAAGTGCTTATAAAACAGGTGAGGCAGAAGAAAATACCTCTTAAGCTAAAATTACATTCTAAATTAATTCCCATGCCTGCAGCACAACATCTACTTTGGGGCCCTTGCACTTTGCCATCACCCTTTTCTTTCTCATTTACACCTTTCTGTTCAAGATAATTTTTCTCCTAAATGCTGGCAAAGGATTTCCTTTACTGCCATTCCCTTTTAACTGCTTCTTAAGAAAATCTGAATTGCTACTATGGTGCTAGTGCTGACACTTGTTGTTCATGGTCTGACTGTACACGACTTTAAGACAGAGAAGGTCGCTCTCCTGAGTGGTAGCTGGGCGCACTGCTGATTCGATTCATTACCCACCTGTAATGACACACAATACAAACCGCAGCAATGATGCAAGGATGCACTCAAAGCTGCACAGCTTGATGGCACAGAACAAGCTTCTGAAATCAGAGTTGTTTCCCAAGCTGGCTACTAAAACTTGCCTCCAGCAAGCTCTGCTCCCTGCCACCTCTTGTATGAGCAAGCCACAAGCGTAAGGTAAGACAATATTGTATGAGCAAGCCACAAGCGTAAGGTAAGACAATATTTTGTTTGTTTAATTTGTAATTAGATAGGAAAAAAAGCTTTAAAAGCCCCCCCCCCCAAAAAAACCCAAACCAACCCTTCCTCTTCAGAGTGATTTACAGCAGATTCATGAAGAGCAGAAGATGGTTGAAGGGCTGTGACCCTGTCCCAGGGTAGGAGAAGGTGCCTGAGAGGGATGGGCAGGCTCTGAGGGAGGAAGGAGCATGGCACAAGCCTCTCTCAAAGGAGAAATGATTGTGCCGAAAGGTAGCTCAGAGCCAGTATCTCCAAACTTTTCACACAATGTTACCTTTTCATAATTAAAGGCTATGGTGACTTTGAGGACAGATTCTGAAAAATAAAGTCCCTTTTGGTTTTAAATAGGTTGAATTACATCAATTCATACAAAATGAGAAGCACTAGTTTGCTTCTCTTGGGGGAACATGTTGTTTCCAGGGGAAAATGCAGCAGAAACATGTTTGTTGTTGCCAAAGAGCATTGCCAAAGAGGAGCTGGAAACATTGCTGCTGTCAGAAGCAGCAATATTTGGAAAAGGACCCAGAACTTGATATGTTGTTACCACAAGAGTCCTTCTGAAACTCTGGCCCAGTGTAGGTAGCAAAATAGAAGTGGAGTTTCTCAAGCTATATCTAGACCACCTAAACTGTAAATGTGGCACCCCTAGGCAGAACTTAGGTGTCTAAGTATCCAGTGTGATTGAGATTGACTACTCCTGGGTGCTATCTCTTAAAAACCCTGAAAATCAAGAATTTCTTCATTTAGGGCAGTGGTATTTCCAAGGCACCCACACACTCTCAATGTAAGCATTAAGTATAAGTACTTTGGTGCATAAAGCTGGAACCCAACTTCACACGCAAAAGCTTTCCCATAATTTCAGGATACGCAATGAAACAAACTCCATCAAGCCTTTGGGGAGGTTCACCCTCTAGAAGACATGTTCCCACCTAACTCACCTGGGATGCACTGAACCCAACGTATGGCTCACTAGTTAAGGCAGCTCTCTTTTAAAACACTGAGGGAAGAGGCAGTGTAGGAGGACAAGTGCCTATTTAAATGATTGTAAAGCACTAAAACTGGCATAAGTGATACTTGGTACCACTTACAGCTCTGGTTCCCTTGAATGCAGGGTGAGAGATAAGAAGAAACACAGAGGAAAGTAGTGTTTTGAAATAGGGAAATAGGATATAATAAAGTGGCAGTGTGAACCCTGCAGTGAGAGTCTTTCAGAAAACAATACTGAAAGCTACTCCCTAGTAAATGACTTAATGACTATTATTGTTATCATAATATAGCTGGAGTGAAATTAAGGATTAGATACGGGCATTTTTTAAAATTCCTCACCCTTTTGATTTAAACCGCACTATTCAACTCCACAGCACAGAATTTTCTGAATGGCAATGTCATGATTTGCTACATCATCACAGGCAAAGCTTATAAATAATTTAGGAAAATATTCACTTGGCCGGGGAATATCACTTAGCCCCTGTTTGCAAGGCATAAGTGAGTTTTCCAGAGTCCACAGGACTTGAGCTGCTTCTCTCTGAATAAATAATCCTCTCCCATCACAGATATATACACACATCCCCTTCCAAATTAATGTTCTTACCTTATCTTTATTTTCAGAGTCAGAATCCTCAAGCTTGGTCCGAATGACAAAGGGAGTAGATAATCTCAGGAGGACTCGTTCAAACGTGGCACTGATTTTAGGAGAAACTATGTCAAAGCACTCCTGGAATTTCAGAGTTTTATGAGTGTCACATCTGAGCTGCTTCCTAAGACCTTCTCCAAGCTGGAGAACCAACATGTTTGGATCAAACATGAGGTGAAAGGGGAAAGCTCTGCAGAAGGTGCTGATGCTAATCCTCAGGTCTAAGGGGGACTGGGAAGTTCCCGGTGGAAGTGCTTTTGTGATATTTGCATTTTCATGTTCTTTGATAAGGAAAGTCAGACAGCTGCAGTTTCCTGGGTTCGTCCCCTCTGAACACAACTTGTCATTAGTGACCTGTTCTACTTGCACTTCCAAGCGGTAAATCTTCTTTGCTGCTGCTTTTATCATTCCCACCATTGCAAATCCCACAATCTGATGTGGGTGAAAGTAATGAAGCATGAGATTGCCTTCAGGGAGCTCTTTGCATAGGAAAGAAGGGGATTCCAGGGTGGCCTGTCTTCCAAATGAAGTTCTAATGTGCTCCAGCAAAGCATCAAAGCCATTGAAGAAGTCTTGAAGGGTCCCACCTACAGCTCGAAGAACTCTTTCATTCTCGTCAAAGCAGACATTGAAGAATTCCTCCCCAAACTTTTCTTGCATTTCCTCAAACTTCAAACCTATAGGACAATGAGATATTGGTATCAACAACATAGTATTGCTACTGTGTTGCATTTTTGCTTTGTTCTCTCTTTGCCTGGTATTTTTCCAAGTCAGTGAGAGTGGCTTTTTCACTGGACACATACCCATGGGACTTCTCTTTTCCTTGGTGGTTGGGAATAACCCTTGGATGCCTGAAACACACTACTTCATTCTAAAAGCCATTTTTGCCTGTCACTTTATGTCCTCATACTTTCAGTTTACTGTCCCAGCCAGCTGCTTGTGGGGTTTACACTTGCCTGTCTCCTCTGCCCTGCTGGAAGTCAGAATACATTATAATTTCCCTGATTTTTGCATGTCAGATGCAGTCTGCTGTGTGAATGCACCCAGACATGGGTGCATCCCTTCCATTGTTGACCTAGTCACAAATTAGGGTTCTGCTTTTATGGCCCCTCTGTTCACTGCCTCTGCAAGGGATTCAGCTCTTACCAGCTTGAAGAATGAGCTATTGGGACTCAAAGTCGGGCCTCTGGCTTTCAATAAGCAATGTAAAGCCCTGCAGTCAGATGACACTTTAGCAGCTAGGGGAGGGGGATTGTGAGTTTTGGGGGTTTTTTTCAGACAAAACACTTTTCTCATTATAGCTATTCGGCACTGCCAGAAGATACAAAGGAATAATTACTTTTTTGTTGCCTGCAAAGGAGAGCAAAGCCTTTCTATTTTAGGCTTCTACACTCACCCATCTTTATAAAAAACCCTGCCTCTTAGAGTCATCTAAACTGCTAGTAGATGGGACAGCTCTGTGATATCTCACAATGTCACTTCAAGTCTCCATCACAGGAATTCAAAAGGCTGGTATCGCTGAAGGGAAGAAAAAATATGGGTGATGGAAGTCCCCAAATACAAATGTGTATCAAATCCTACTGCAGTTTGTTATCTACCATTTTAAGGATAACCCAAAAAAAAAAAAAATTGACATGGTGATTAAACATTTTCCTCTGTCTTATTTTAGGGAATCTATGCTCTGCTAAGTCTCATCTGTATATAATCCCTATATCACATAGTAGAGCTACAAAATTTATCAGGTATGCTTGTATTGTCCTAAGCTGTAACAGAAGAAAAAATATGACTCGATCGTATGTGAATTACAGATATCCAGCAAGAGTTTTCAAAGGAAATTAATATAGGAATTAACAACATCATAGTTCCTCCAGTGTACTGAAATTTATCAAATTTCAGTGAAACAGACAAACGCCTTAAACTTTTAACTTGAATCCTAACAGAAATGAAGGGCAGTTACTTATTTCCTAAGGGCACTACAGGTCCTTTATTTTAAGATGTATTCAGCATGCTTTATAACATTGATAAGATCCCAGTGGATCACCAAACTTTTCACTGTTTGTTTAGACTGTTTGTAGGCTTTTAAATTTGCAGTAACAGTGTGATTAGTGACTTTCATGCCCAAAAGGTGTAGCAGGGGACAGAAGTCATTCATCTGTTGTTTGCAGACAACAACCTTTGATCATCTCAAGGCAGCATCTGAACTGCCTGTGCCCACAGGCTTAGATATAACGATCAATATTCACGAGAGATCTGAATGTTCCACAGCTTTTCAAACTATCTGCAATGATAGTTTTGTTTGGACCTTCAGTGTGATTAATAGCGGATGAAAATGCATAGAATTACATATATAAACAGGGCAGCATGACAACATGACAAAGCATATTTTATAAAAGAAGTAATAGTAATAATTTGGGAAAGTTCATTCGAATGCCATTACTCATAATCAAATTTGGTCACTGAACTAGGTTATTACAAAAATATTCCCAGGATCTTTTATGACCACAGATGGTCAGATCTGCGGCTAAGCCAAAAGAAAGTACCTCTGGTACACAATGGCCCCTAATATCCTGACTCAGAGGACAGCATGCCAATTCCTGACTCATTACCACTATATCTGCATAACATAGTATTGTAGCATCTTCCATAAAAATACTCACTATAACCAAAAATAATTAAGTTCTAACCCATACCAATAACATTGTCATAACTGGATATTAATAGCAAGGAGCTAAGAAATTATCACACTCATACGTATACACAAACACATATGCATATTTTTAAATCTCATGTTCTATAGAGAGAACTGCGAATAGCTTTAGAAGTCTGTGTGTAAACATGAGCAGTCTAGCAGGGGCACCCAAGGCTGTAAGATTGCAGAGGCCTTGAAAGTAAGGGAACAGGATGCTATCAGAAACCTCTGGGCTATTCATGCAAATGACCAAATACTGTTACAGATCTATGTAACATCCCACAAAGCTGCCCAAAACGATAGCATGGGTGAGTTGTCTTTAACGTGTATTATAAAATTACAGTAAAACAGTTGCCCTAGCACCACTAACCTAAAATAGGGTATGCAGAACTGATCACGTGTTCACTTTCCTGCCACATATGTAAGCCTCATCTCATAATTGTTATTGGGAGTTGTATCTTAATATTCGGCCTAAGGTTTTGCTGATATTGTCTTAGATTGGTCTTGTTGTCTGCCCTGGAGTACTGGCTGTTCAATTTGGACACAACGTACTTACTCCAAGCAACATGAATTATACTATGAAATTCAGGCCAATGACCTGGCTTGAGGACATGCCACTACTTTTAAAAACATTTTGGCTTTGAATTGAGTTACACACAGTACCAGCAGAAAATTAGATTAGCTCAGAATAGAAAAATGGATATGCCCAAGCTCAACCAAACTGCTGGTCTTAGTCGGGAATTTTCTCTCTAATAATAGACACTATGACATACTGAGAAAATTAATTGAAGTCAAACAACTTTCTAAAACAAACAAGTATTACATATCTATCAGGGAAGTTTCTTCTTAAGCCTCACCAATGAGAGGTCAATTTTTGCTTGAAGCTTGATGGGTTTTCTTTAAATCAAAAATCTTTATTTAAATTCCTATTATAAAAACACACAGAAACTATTTTTTCTGTATTTCTATAAAGCTCTTGTCTTCAGTGATGTGCTTGTACGAAGTTGCACAAAATACTTATTCCTGCCTCTCCGATTGAAACAAATGATGAACAGAAGCACAGGCTTACCTAACATTAACTCTGTATATATTTCATCATAACCTTTTCATTAACTACTATAGAAATGATCTCAATCTTTTGAATATATTCTGTGGAGTTTTTCCATACCCCCATCTATATTTGTATCTGTTTAGCTTTCAAGATACAATAGAAATTACCATCATCATCACAAGGAGAGAAAATGTCAGACTGCATCAGATTGCTATTCAGCTGCTCTGAAATCTTGTATCAGCAGTGATTGGTATCAGATGCTACAGAAAAACTATAAAATCTGATGGAAAATCATGAAAAAGCATGGTTTTGAGGAAACTCCTTCCTAACTGCTACGGTAAATGTTTGGCTTATTCACTGAAATGGATGGAAGTACCAGATCAGGAGATAGTTTTATTACATATAGAAAAACCTGCTTGTTACAAAAATTCCCAGAATTCATTATCTCTATAGTGCATACTTTACTGCATTTGGAGACTTCCACAGGCTAATTATTATCTTTAAAAATTACATTTGGTATGATTTCCAATTCGAAAGTATTCAGTATTTCCTTTGATTTTTCTTTTATTTTGAGAAAAGACAAATAAAATCTTCAAAATAATCTTCTTTATAACCTTCAGGTTATACATCTGCATAATCTTTTCTAACTCATCTCACATTAAATTCTTTCTCTGCATCTGCATTTTGTTTTAATTTTGATTTTGCTGTGGAACAATTCAAATTGAAGATGGCACTAATGTCAGTCAACTTCTGTTCATCAAAATTGATGATTTGTTATTCCTTTCTGAAAAGCTAGTATTTCATAGAATCATAGAATCATAGAATCATTTTGGTTGGAAAAGACCTTTAAGATCATCATGTCCAACCATTAACTTAGCACTGCCATGTCCACCACTAAACCATGTCCCAAAGAACCACATCTACAAGTCTTTTAAAAACCTCCAGGGATGGTGACGTAACCACTTCCCTGGGCAGCCTGTTGCAATGGCTGATAACCCTTTCAGTCAGGAAATTTTTCCCAATATCCAATCTAAACCTCCCCTGACGCAACTTGAGGCCATTCTATTCTTTCTTTTTCACTATGGACTTCTAATCAAAATTTTAATTCAGCTGCCCAGAAAAAAAAAATATTTCAGATCTGTATGCGTGCCCAGCACGTCCAAGTGCAGAGGCCACTGCGGTCCCATATTGCCTCATGAGACAGATGAGAGACCTGACTGCCATAGATAAGGCTTCCTAATGGGGATTAGCTGGGAATCAGTAAGAAGGAAAAAGTCTTCCTTAGTTTCACCAAGACACTTCACCAAATGGCAATGATACAAAATAAACCAAAATTCATCCCAATATTCTCTGCTGCTGCCCAAGTGAAGTCATTTGTTATTTTGAGCTTCTGCTATTTACCAACCTTCTACTAACATACAGAATGAAATTCTAAAAATTCATCAGTCTCAATTTGCTTTCCTCTTGGAAAGTGATCTACTATGCTCATATCACGTAATCCACTTCTTTGAGAGGACAAATCACATGTCTTAACTCCAGTAAGTTTTTTCTTTAGTACTTTCTTGTTTTTTCTTGCAATGCCATTTTTATGCTAGCCCATAGTGGAGAGAAAGTAAATATGCACATTGCAGAAGGAAATTGCGGCAAAGCAACCATAGAATGAAAATATTGCTATGCGCCTCTACTACAAAGCACTTTGAGATCTATGACAAAAGTACTATATAAGGTCTATTATTATCCTTTGAAAATGTGTCTCAAAGACATTTAGAGCAGAGATCTTATACTTGTGAGCCAGATCCAAAATTACTGAAGTCTTTAAGCATAGGCTCAAAGTAAAAATTAAGTATTTCACTGAACTAGAGCAGAAATAAATGACTTCATCCTGTAATAACATGCTAGTAAAAGGTCCTTCTTCATTTTCTTTTCAGCAGTTCCTG